CCCTCTCCCCCCCCACCTCAAGAACGATATAAGCACTGTGCAGAACTGTCTGCTTTACTCGCTTATCTTCCACGTCACTGAAGAGGCCTGAAGTGAATGACGTAAAAACAGCCGTTTGCCAATACGACTTTTCGATCGTAAAGGAAATGGAAATTTTTGCCGAAATAAATTATCGAAGGGGGAATCGGGCTACTGGGTGGTTGTAAGTAGGCGTATATTATATGTTGTGACCCTATTAGGCCCACCTACTATTTTTAGTTATGCTGTAGTCTATTTTGTTGAATAGTAGTGATTTAAGTATATTTATCTAAAGTTGGTGGTATCTACCTGAACCCAAAGCTAAAGTCAACTAAAACTGAAACTAAACTAAATAACTAAACTGAAAACATATACTAACCTAAAGCTAAACTAAAACCGATAAAACTAAGCGTATATACACACGACTAGAGGCTAGGCATGCGATCAACTTGACTTTTCACTCTGGGGTGCCCTAGTGACTGGGTCAGCGGATGAACCCTGCAGCTGTCTGCAAGGACGGCTCAAGCGAGGTCCCGCAACGATACTTCCTTTCATCTACTCGGAGACGTGACAGCAAAGTCTGCTAGGGATGACCGGTAGAAGTATTGGCCAGAATCAGCGACTTCTATGGAACAGTCTTCAAATATTGACAGTGAAGCACTCTACCAAATTATCAGCCAAATTAGTGGCAAGCCCTTGATCCACTGTGACACTGTTCGCGATGAGAATGGTGCCTTTGTCGCTGAGAACTCGGCCAATGTTTGTCACTGGCGTGAGCACTTCAAGCTCCTCCTCACACCCTCTCTCCTCAGAAGCGGATGTTAACTCTCTCTTAGCCTATGCATTGTCGTGTGATCTATCTTCCGAAGATGAAGTTGCCAATACTTTGCAGAGGTTGCGCAACAAGATTGCGTGTAGAGAGGACGGTATTCCCACTGAAATCTGCACGTCTTGTGCCGACATTGTGGCTCTTTGGTTCCATGAGGTGATCGGTCAAAGGTGGAGAGACGAGGCCGTCCCTAAGAACTGGGGCTCAGACATCATTATACCGGCCTAAAAGACGGGAGATAAGTCAGGACGCGAGAACTACCGCGGCATAAGCCTAATTGACTTCGATGCGAAGATCTTCGCTATGGTTTTTCTCAGGGAGATTTCAGTCTGTGCGTGACTATAGGACGCGGACAAACCAACCTGGATTTATTAAGTTGGTTTGGCAGATTTGGTTAAATTGGTTGACCCAATTGTGAAAAAACTCGCGGCATTCGGCAGGATTCGAACCCGCATAGGAAGGAGGCCTTTTACGCAAGCCAACGCTTTACCTACTTGAGATACGACTGTCGCGCTTCACACCGTGAGTTTGATCACACTTCGCCATACTTTATATCAGCTAACGACCGTCTGCTTTTTTGACTTTGACGCTAGGTTCGATTCCGTTCATCGAGAATCCCTTTAGCAGATAATGGAACTGCATGGTTCACCACCAAAACTCATCGCCATAATCAAGATATCCATGGTGCATAAGCACCCTTAAGAACCATTCACTATCCACTCTGACGTTCGATAAGGCTACGTCTTGTTGCCCATTCTATTCAAATACGTCATTTGTGGGATTCTCAGGAAAGTCCTGGGTGAAGACGACGGTGTTGAGCTTGCAAGTGGACTGACTGATATCGAGTACGCCGGTAATATTGCTTTAATAGCTTTAGATTACTGTAAACTACAGTTTGCAGTGTGATGGGTGAATGAGATCGCGTTGTCGGTTGCCTTGGCGATAAATACGGCGAAGACTACATTATGCTCAAGCTGTGTTCCTGAGCTGGAGAAGGCACCCCTGGGGATTAGTGATCCTCAACTTAAACCATTATATCGTTTTAAATACCTCGGGGTGAGGCTTCTACCCAACTGCCAGAGTACAGAAGACATTGTCTCCCGAATCTATGTTGTTTGCAGGATTTTCTCAACCCTACACAAACGCCATTGCCACGAAGATCCGCGTCTACCGTGTATCCGTCACGTCAGTCTTTCTCTCTGCATGTGAATGCTGGGGTTTGCGCTTGGAAGTTGAGCGAAGACTGGAGGTATTTGACCGCTTCTGCATGAGCACCATCCTTCAGATAAAAGACGCGAAATCATCGCGAGGATGGCTCACACCACCAAAGAAAAACGACTTAGGTGGTTTGGGTGCGTTCCCCGCCTTCGATCTACGGGCTCCGTCGCTGAGGAAGAGAATGGGTGGAGCTGTGGCGGTCCTGTGATTACACCCCCCTCCCCTCCCGTCGTTCACAC